AAAAGCGAGGGCGTCCAGAAGTGCATCTCCTTGAGCGGGGGAAATGTCAGCGCTTGACTTGCTGGTGCGAGTGTTTATACCAGATCTGCACAGGGAAGAGGATGTGTGCGAGTCTAATAATACTTAATACGCCACCTGCATGGCAGTTCTACAACACAACCAGTGCTTTCGGGGCAAGAACGTGGTTCTTCGGTACATCTCTTGTCGTCCATGAAGTTTGTGACCCAGGCACATTTCGGTCTGGATGGCAAACAGGAAAACATTGCAAAAATAGACGAGAACAAGAAACTGACAGCGTTCTCGACTTCGCTGCCCATGGGATTGTCAAAGTTAGCGGGAAAAACCCCTGGTCCGCGTCAGGTGAATCGTGTCCCTCATGGAACAGAAGTCCAGGTTGCCGACTCCTGCACCAAAGAGAGCTCAGAAATCGGCTTAAGAGCGCCATCCGACAGACGGATAAACAATGAGACACCGTCTGGATAGTAGTATAGGTGTAAAGAGTCCGAAAAATTTCTGCAGGACTCGGTCGAGAAGAGCCAGAGTTGACATCGCCGTCATGGTCAGACCTAACTTTGGTGTTCTTGGCGCAGCGGAACGGTCAAGGTTCTCGCGATCTGGAGCCCAAGCCCCAACTTGAACACTCTACGCTCGCTCGAACGCCTACTGAGGTTATTCCCAACCAAAGTCAAGGCAGAACTATACTGGAACACGTTATCTATGTCATCTGGGCAAATCGCACAAGTACGACCCCATTTAGTGCTTCAACGATGCTCTCCAGATTCTTACCAACTCCAAGGATCCTGCCTGGAAGTCGAAGGAGCAAGCGGAAGAGGCTCGCTATGTTCGGGAGAAGGTAAGCCATAGTTCGAATGGCATGTAGCATGATTCCCAACCTCCCATCGCTCCGGGGTGGTAGAAGCAAGCCCAATTGGAAGCCATAAGACAACAGATGGAAGAGAAGGAGAAAGAGAAGAGCGCAGACAAGGGAGTGCAGGACCGGGACTTCGAAGGTGGCTTCGGAGGGCAGGAGGACCTCGAGGATAGATATGCAACAACAAGTGGCGAACATTGAATTTTCTGTCCTCCAAACCAACAGTTTTCGGAGATAATGTATAACCAAGCGAATGTCCCAGCCGATAAATCTGAACCTCTACTTACTGCTCTCTGGCAAGTTATACTTGACTGATGGGGCCATGCATGCATTGAGGGACCGAAGATTAAGTAGATACGGCAAGCTACTAAATAAATGAGTGTACATGGTGCATATAAGTAGAGTCCAAGAAGATCCATGTGTAACATAAGCGTCCGACGAACAAAATCCACAACACGAATCTAGCCCCAAGCAGTATCGTGTCTATCATGCTTGAGGGGCTGGTGTAAACAAGGGGTCGGGGATAGCTTCTCGTCGTGTACCAGCGGCACAGACAGGGGGAGGAGCTGTTGAAGGGTCTACCCATGGGTCAAGATACGTGCAAGTGGGAATAGGGACGAAAACGCCTTGGGAATCAGCGGCGTTCGCCCAGCCAGAGCCGGCGTTGACAGTTACAGATGAGGGGAATGTTGGTACGGGAAGTGTGGGTATCGGACCAGTTGGGGTGTAGGTGGGCAATGTGGTGACGGCGCCACCCATACTAATAGTTGCTGGAGGCCACGCCAAGTTCGACGACACAGACGCTGGGATGCCAGCACCCGCACCGCCCGTCTGCCAAGCTCGAAGAGGTGGGCTCCAAGGGTTCGAGTTTCCACAAGCACCCGTAGCATCTCTTGGGTCTGTCGGCATCCAGCCATTCTCAAGTCCGAGCTGATACGACCAAGCAGGTGTCTCAACCTTGCCGGTGCGGCTTGAGTTGCCAATCTTCCAGGTCCAGAAGAAATAGTCCTGCAGAAATGGTTAGACTCAACCACACATTAACGAAGAGAAGAGATACTTACCTGAAGGGCGTCCATGCTGGCGAGGGCGAACTGGCGAATGGCACGCTTCGTAGCTGCGTCATAGTTTTGCCAATCAGTCCAGGTGCTGCAGCTTCCCATACGAGGCCAAACTCCGATATATGTTCCTTCGTAACGGGTGCCGAGGTTGACTCCATTCAAGAAGAGACCACAGTCAGTGACGGCATTGCTAAATTCACCAGCGTTTGTCAAGCCGAAGGATGCCATCGAGTTGTTCACAGCCCCGCCCCAGGACGTGCATGGTGTTGTCGCATAGGTAGAGATAGGGGCAGACGATTGGCCATTGAAGCAGAGGTAAGGATGGGAGTCGAGGGTGATGCGGTCAGCATTGGGGAAGGTGTTGGTCCAGTCGGTTCGGGGGAAGAATCCGTCGTGGATGGAGACATAGGGGCCATTGCCTTCTCCTGTACCGCCAGCTGTGCGAATAATGTTGTAGGCCTCAAGATAGCTATGAGCGGCGTTAGCTGTCTACTACGAAGGGGCTGAAACGATGACCCACAATCGAGCAAGTGCGTCTTGGCCCATCACTGATCCTTGAGGCTCATTGATGATGCCAAAGATCGTGACGACATCCTTGTACTGAGGCTGAGAAATGAACTCCGCAAGAATGCGAATGTAGTCAAGCGAGCGCTGAGCGTTGGCGTAACCCATGGGCCCATTGAGGAAGCCTGTGGTACCAAGACGCCCGGAATGATTCCATCCGTTTTGACTGCCGGGCAGAGCATGGAGATCAAGGTTAATACGCAAACCATACTTGCGAGCCCATTTGATCGCCTTCAAGAAATACCTTGACGCATGGTCAGGAAAGAAGTCGAAAAGATGATAACGAATGCACGTACGTCCACGACACTTTGGGTAAGAAAGGCTCTTCGTCACGAACTTCAATGATCCAGAATCCAATGGGAATACGAATGAAGTTGAGACCAGCGCCGGCGATTTCCGCGAAATCTTTTTCAGTCTGGATAGACCGATGAGGAGAGCACCAGCGACAAGAAAAGCGTCGACGTACAATGAAAGTCTTATAGTGATCCTCTAGTTGATTGATACCTCCCCCAGCAGTGTCGGCACGCATGGCCTCACTCAAGGTCCACTCATCAACGGCAGGTGTGGGGTTGTTGAGATATTTCTCATACAACGCCGGCGAACTATTGATAGAGTCAAATGGTTACCACGATACAAGCTGCGGGGAACTAACATGAACTACACGATGTTAGTAGGAAAATCGGAACAGGCAGAACATGCATAAACTCACAGGCTCTGTATTCAACCATCCTCCAAGATTGACGCTAAACATAATTGAGGTCAGATTGTGTACACCGACAGAAAACTCTAGATGACGCACCCTCTCATCTTATCAGTGCCATAGCGGAAGGTCTCATTGAGAGCAGGGGACCAAGCCTGAGCTCTAGCGCCGTTGTTGAAAGGATCGTTTTCGTCGTAATACCAGTAACCCCCAAATGAATTGCGATAGGTAAACTTGGTGCCGTCTTCCATTGTGATTTCTGAGCCATCGCGGCCAGTTACTGGGGTAGCCGAGGGTGTAGAAGCGGAAGACGTGGCGGTCGCGTGGTTTGACTTGGACGCTGATGAGTCGCTTGAAGTAGAAGCGTTGGAGGACTCGTTGTTGTTAGGCCGCACAACAAAGAAGTAGACAGGAATGACAACGGCGAGGAGGAGGAGAATTAAGGCGGCGACGACAGCCAGAATCATGATCTTGCGCCTGGACTTGGCTCTGGGGGGGGCATATGCAGTTCGCTTCTCCTCGAGCGTCCTCCCACCGGCAGCACCCACTGGCGACATAGGAACATTCTGATCGCCAGTATAATAACTACCACGCGGATCATCGCGGTAGCTCCCCTCGAAACGTCCTGGGGCGGAAGGATCGTTCAGGGCGTATACAGACGATGTGTATTCGGAGTTAGGGATTGTATGTTGGGAGGACGCAAACGACTCGCGCATAGCGGGGCCGTCGTAAAGCGCGGTGGATCCAAGGAAGCGAGGCTGCGCTGCGCCCACTGGTATTGAGGGGTCTGCACCAAGTTCGGTCGGGTTCATCTGGGGGGTGTGGAAGCTAGAGAGACGGGGATCGGGGGAGGGAGGGGCATTGTAAAGGGAGGTTGTTGGTTGGTCGTCGCCGGTGAGCGGCAAAGGATCGTATGCGACGTTGGGTTTGTCGTTGGAGGCCATGGTGGGAGGTCGGCGCAGAGGACGGGGAGGATGGAGGAGGAAAGAAAGAGAGTTTGGAGCGGAGAGGCGTGCCCCAGACCAACTTTTACAACGACAAGCCAATCCTGAGGCGTCACACAGCCTCGTTACCCTGTCACTTCCTCTTCTTGGCCCCCAGCCTTTCGCTCTTTCCGGCCTCAACCACCATTTTTCACTCGGTGCACTCATGTTCTGTGCTGGTGTACACTCTACATACAACATTACAACATAGCATACTGACACACCGCGCACGACGCGACGTGCTCCCTCCCCGCATCTGCTCGTTTTCGTCTCGCCCTCGGCCGTTGCAACCAGTTCTCAATTCAAACACCGCAATCATTACTTTGCCCGTCTTGGAATTCTTGGTTGTGCTCTTGAGTCCCGTGCGTAGGCTTAGGGCGTATGTATTAAATACAGTATTATACAGTATAATACTGTATTAATGGCACAAGTCAGCTCCCCTGCGTCATTGATCTATCCTATCACGACTGAGCCTGAGCGAATCCGTTGGCTTGACCGCCGGAATTCTGTGACTGTTGTTGTTGCTGCTGTTGCTATTGACCGAAGATTCAATTTTGAAAGAGTTATTTTCAGCATATCGATCACAACGGCAAGGTAAGAATAGCTTACCACCAGAGTCGCCGCTCGCAAGAGCTCGAGCTGCTCGGGTGTGAGATTGTAGTAATTGTTCGCATTCCCAGAGTTCTGAGGAAGCAAGCCTTGCACCTGTCGTGTTGTTGTGTGTGAGACAACGGGCGTCAGCGCCCAAGCTTTGCTAAGGCGAAGAAGACGACATGAAACTGACCAAGTTGCCTTGGGCTCCACCTTGCAGCTGCTGCACCTGGGTCTGCAGTGCTCGAGCTTGTATAAGAAGCTGAGCTTGTTGTCCGACTGGCCGCCCGTTCACTGTCGGTGGTAACCTCACTGTTCGGTTCGCAAGACCAGCCGCGGATGCATTCTGTCGGTTCTGGGTAGCTTGTGCAGCTTGCAACTGTTGAAGCGTAAGCTGTTGGAATTGCTGCTGCTGTTGTGCCGTAAGAGATTGCTGTCCTTGCGGTGCTTGGGCTGGCTGGGCTGGCTGCGGTGGAGTGGGCGTCAGAGCCTGCTGTTGAGGTTGAGCTGCCTGCTGTTGCTGGAGTTGCTGTTGTGGTTGTTGCTTTTATTCCCATCAGAAAGAATATTGGGAATGTTTTGAAAGACGTACCACCACACCACCAGCCCGTTGATTCTGCTCGCGCAATAGGTTTTGTCTCTGCTGCTCCTCCTGTCTCCGTCTTGCCAACGCCAAATCCTGGTTATCCCGATCGCGCTCGGCTTTCATCCGGCTCAATTCAGCAGGCGTATACTTCGGCATTTTGTTGTATTGGTTGTGAGTCTCATGGACGGCAGGAGGTTTTCGGGACGCGTTCGCTATAACGAAATAATGTTAGGGATTAGGCATCCATTGATACGAATGAGAATTCACCAATTGCCTTGTTAAGAACTTCGGCCCTCTTTTTTGCGACCTTCTTGACGGAATCCTGGATTAGATAATGCCGTCTTCGCTTTTTAGGCTCACTTCCCGCAGCACCTGCTGGCATGATGGCGCTCGAAACACTAGCACTCGCAAGCCTCTTAGTACCCCTCGTCATGATTTGACTCGAGCTCGCTCCGACGCCATCCTCTCCTGGTGTTTGAGAGGCATCAGTCATCGTCGGGAGCTTGCGTTCCGCACCCCATCTCTCTTTCCAGCGTTCCGCACAATCAAGAGGCGTGCGTCTATCATTAGGGGTGGTCAGGCGACATGAGTTGTAACACTCGGCGATCAGAGCCCAATTCATGGAATATTTATCCACGAGAGATTTCAATAGCGCGTCATCGCTGGTGCTCCAGAGGTGGTCAACACCACGCTTCCGCGAATCTTTGTCCTTCAACGACGAGACGAACTGCAGCGCGATGTTCGTATTTGTAGGACGGCTATCAAAGAGCTCTGCGAAATGTGAGATGAGACCATTTTAGAAAGCTTTATTCACTCACCATTGTTGGTTTCTTCTGGTGCCCGAGAGCCAGGATCGACCTCAGGGGGGACAGCAACTTGTTCCATAGGTTGCCATTTTCCATCCTTCAGCCGCTTAGCGGGTTGCAGAGGACCAATGAGGGTTGGTTTGCTATACGTGAAACGTCCTGTCGAGTAAAGTTTCGTATATGTTGTATCCTCGATGCGTTTGTTAGGGTCATCTCTGTCAGACTTCTTTTCGCCCTTCTTTTTCCCCTCCGTCTGAGGCGGGGCGAGCGGAGGTACGTCGAGAAGGCCGAACGGTTGTAAGTCAGGGAAGAGGCTTTCGAGATCCATGGCATCTAGGGCCAATTTGGTTTCAGAACCCGCCGTGGTAGACATCGTGATGAAGAGGTTCGCAAGGTCGACGAACAGACTGTCATCATAAGCGAGACGTTCCCGCAAAGGCGCAAGCGCGGACTTGGGAGGTTGCGCCGGGGCCACATCGCCATTGGTCGACTGGGAACTAGACTTCGATTCACCTCCCAGAATTGGGTTACCGGACGTAGACTTCAAACCACTTTCGGAATCGTTGGGCCTCTCCTCATTGGCGTCCGACGAAAGCTTCATAGCGTCATCAACAATAGCATCTGAAACGTCGGTGGCCTGGGGCACATATGAAAGCTGTAACCCCGACCGATCTTCCACTTCCTCGCTTTTGGGCTGGATGTCGTTGTTTGCCTCCAGAGCGTCTTCGATGAGTTTAGCGGGTTCTAGTACATCCATGACGTTTTGGGGATCCTTGTCCTGGTCGTCGTCGTCGTCGTCGGATCCATAGTCGACACCTAGTAAGGATGGATTAGACTGTTCCCTTTGGTACTGTTCCACTTGAGAACTGTCGTCGGGCAGTGCTTCTGGGACCGACTCTTCATCCTTCAGGGATGCTGGCTTCCACTTGACGCAAATACCGGCGCGTAGGCGTTCCTCTGGAGTCTTCGCAAAATGCCACTCGAGCACAGCGGTTGATAGGTTGTATGCTAGCGCCAATTTCCAACGCCGCTCTTCCCGAAAATCAATACGCATCCATTTCTGGGACAAGGTGAAGTTGAGTTCTGTCAACGCTAGTATTCACACTTACCACCTCGTCCAAGAGATAATCCCAATGAGTTTTAACCAAACCGCCAACACCTCGCTGTTTCTTGGGTTGCCGAAACCCCCATCTACCTTCGTCCTTGAGGGATTCAATACGTTCGAGCGCACGAATTAGCCTCAATTCTGCCATTGCGACCTAAAGTATCTCTTTTAATAATAAAAACCAACACATTTGAGTTGACCCTTACCCCCCATTCACGACTGTTCAAGCATTTGTTGGCGCGAGAGACTTTCTTCCAAAGTGGATTAGCCATGACCGTCGCCCCCCACCTATTCAAACCCATAGGCAGGACTTCGTCCTTATCCTTTTTGCCCTCTTTATCTCGTTCTTTCTCCCTCTTCCTCCGACTTGTTTTTGCTTTACGAGTGAACTCTGGAGGCAGGACGTTGAGAGGGGGGATAGGATATTGAGGATCAAACTGTCGGCGGTAGGTGGTAATCGGGGAGGGAGGTTGAACTGCCTGCTGCTCAGGCTCGACGTCCAAGTTGAAAGGTGGTTCCTCAGGTGCAATTTGAGGAGCTGGGATGACAATCGGTTTATGAATACTAGGGGGCAAAGGGATGTGAATTGGAATATATTTCGCAGGTGGACGCGGTGGAACCTCTTCCATGGGCGCAGAGATAGTGAGCCCAATGTCCTGAGGTGCATCCTCTGTTTGATCAGATTCTATATGCATGGGCTTGTCTGATGCTTTGGCAGCCTCATGCTCCACAGGTTCTGTCTTGTCTTGTAGCATCTCCGTTGATATGTCTTCATCCACATCCATTGCTTCGTCCTTGAGTATCGTAGCGGCAGCGGCAGCGGCATCGTCCTCTTCGGCGTCCATTTCGTCGACGTCAGAGAGATGCTCCTCGGCCGCTTGAGAGGCGACCTCAAGTTCCGCATCGAGCTTGTCGGTGGATGATTCGGAGGCGTCTTCCTCATTCACAGAAGTTGATTTGACCGAGGGAGATAGTGGCGGTGGTGGTAATTGAGGCTCTTCATAGTCTTCAGACACACCTTGAACGTGGTCGGTCTTCTGCATCCCCGCAACTGGTTCTGCCGACTTCGCGCGTCCATCCACGGGGAGTGTTGAGGAACCGATTAGATCAAGTTCATCGTTATCTTCATCCGATTCTTCGACGCCCATGCTTTCACGCTGTAGACGCGTCGGGCTGGCCACATTTGGAGGGGTCGATTGCGAACTTGGATGTTCGTCAGCTTTGTTAGCCAGAGAATTGTCGGCCACAGTGATGGCAAGAGGCGGAGGTGACAGAGATTTAATGGGCTCATTTGCACGAGTTCGACTGCGAGTCGCTCTCGTAGAGGACGCAGTTGGCTTGGTTTCGCCCGAGGAAGGAATGTTCACTGGAGATGATCTTGGAGAGGGAGAAGTTGGATTGTGGGGAGCAAATGTTGCGTCCTCTTCGGTCAGGTTCAATATAGACCCTCTGTCCGGGCTGCAAAAAAGAGATGATTATAGAGGGAGCAGACTCTGAAGATATAACAGCACGTACTCTTCCTTGAGATCAAAGCGTTGCAGAAACGTTTGGAACTGTGTGTCATCCCCTTCGTCCTCCGTGTATGCAGCATTAATATCGTCTCTATCCCGCATCATGCTGAACAACTCGCGTAGGAATTCATTCCGTCTGGCGACAATCAAGCTATAGAGACCATTGAGTGTGGCGTCCCAACAGACAGTGCATCACCTTACTTTAACTGTTCGTAGCGTTCCTGCAAGCGTGAATCAGGAAAGGCCGACGACATATCTGACAATTTATAGCGATATTTCCTCGGTTCTGTGGGCACGGTGCAGCTGTTTTGGCTGGCCAACCCAACCGAAGTCGACAAGGAACGAGAATGTCTTTTGGAATCGTGAATGTTATGTAAGCTGATTCGCAGGACATTTATGGAGCAGCTTCCGCATCGAGGCACGATCAGTAATTACGGACAGGGTCGCCAAGGATTTGTTTCCCCAGTCTGTGTTTGCCCGTTCTTGTCCACCCCCCATCATGTTCAGGCTAATTCATAGGACGCCTGTCCGCAACAAGTACCACGGTCTCAGATGTTCATCAACTTCCCTCACTGATGCCAAAATAATATCTACAACCCCCCTCCGGCCCAGCCTCCGTCGTTTCACCTCAGCCAACTCCACAAAATCTAGCACGAGTCTTCTCCGATATTCACCGTGGTCTGATAGTTTTTCTGGTTCGACTGGTTCAAGGGTTCTGCTCCAGGCTGCTCTCTATGGCGCATTACTCTTCGGGGCTGTGGAATTTCTTGTACGTGACTCAACTTCTGAGGATATCCCTGCACTCTCACCATGAATGAGAAGTCTGAACAGCCGTCGACTGCTTCAAAAACCAAGTATGCTTCCCAGACAGAGCTTAAAGCAGCCATAGAAGAGTTGTGCGCAGCTTTCCCGCTCGCCAATAGCGTTGTTACAGATCCAGACGCTTTGAAGACTCATGGCTCTTCGGAGCACTCTTACCATCCAGCAGCCCCTCATGCCGTTATAGTATGTCGGAAACCCTTCATCACGTTGACCTACTGATGATCGGTAGGTTCGGCCAGCAAGTACCGAAGATGTTGTCAAGGTTGTAAACATTGCGCGAAGGTACCGCGTCCCGATTACTCCCTACAGCGGTGCGACCAGTCTCGAGGGTCATTTTTCTGGAGTAAGATTATTCCCGTTCTTTAGTTCTTCTATTCCTTATTTAGCGTCACTTTTTGGCAGTATGAGTCCATCAGCATTTGTCTAGATATGTCTGGCATGGACAAAATCATCAATATAAACGGTGCGCACCGTGGCTGCACAAAGGGCTCTTGTTCAATGCTATTTAACAGTTGATGACGCCGACCTTACATGCCAGGCTGGAGCTAGATGGGAAGATATTAATCATGTCCTCAAGGACAAAAACATTCCACTTTTCTTCCCAGTACGTTGCGCCGGCCTATGCCACTCCAATTGTTGTCACGTGTCTGTTTTACAGTTAGATCCGGGACCTGGCGCTGTATGGTCCACAGTTCAAACGATTTGACCTATCTGATAGCACAATTGTAGACAATCGGCGGCATGGTTGGAACCGGTTGCAGCGGAAGTATGTGATGATAAAGACCACTTTGCATCACTTAACATGGTCTTTAGCCAATGCCGTCCGATATGGGACTGCGAGGGCAGAATGGTTTCTCAATCTTGTAATATTGTCATGAATCTATGTCACCCATGCTAACCTAGATGTTCAGACGGTTGTCTTACCAAACGGACGAGTCGTCAAGACGCGAAGACGTGCTCGCAAATCGGCGGCAGGTTTTGATACGGCAAAGTTGTTCATTGGTGCAGAAGGAACTTTAGGCATCGTAACGGAAGGTATGTTCAAGATGTATAATTTTAATGCAAGCTGCTTGCTGACTTCTCTTCATAGCCACTTTGCGACTGACTCCCGTCCTGCCTACGAAAGTCGCCATGGCTCAATTTCCTGACGTTCAGAAGGCCGTTAGTGCCGTTCAAGAAATACTTCAATCTCCGCAAGGACCGCATATCCGTGAGCTGTGTCGACTACAAAAATGACTGCACGTCTAACCGACTCTTGATACCTTAGAATGCATTGAGCTTTTAGATGACCACAGTACGCTGAATTATTCGAAGTTTGGCCTATTCTGTGCTGACAATTTTCAGTGATGGCTGCTATCAACACCGCAGGATTTGTAGATAAGCCATACCCTATAGAAGATACACTATTTTTCAAGATACAAGGGGACTCTGCTTCGACAAAACTGGCCTCTGATGTTGTGCGGAGCATTGCCATAAAGCATGGCAGTTCGCGCTTCCAATTTGCCTCGACAGATCACGAAGCGGAAGAGATGTGGCAAAATCGCAAATATGCTTTGATGTCGAGCTTGGCATCTCACCCCGGTCTTCGATGTTGGACAACAGATGTTTGGTACGTTCGTCGTCTTCCATTTCCGCAGAAAAGGTCGAGTCAGAACCGCCTAATTTATACACGTACAGCGTGCCCGTTTCACGACTCCCTGAACTAGTATATGAGACCAAGAAGGATTTAAAGGAATGCGGCTTGCATAGTACCATTGTTGGACACGTTGGTGATGGCAATTTCCATGCCTTGATCTTGTTCGATAGAGAACGTGAATTCGACACCGCGAGCGGAGCTGTACATAGACTCGTTCATCGGGCTGTGGCTCTTGATGGTACATGTGAGTGCATTATGGGTATTCATGAAATACGCTCACCTTTGTTCAAACAGGCACAGGAGAACATGGTGTTGGATTGGGGAAGAAAGAGTATCTGATTGACGAATTAGGCGAGAATACAGTGGAGCTGATGAAGACGGTCAAGAAGGCAATTGATCCCCTCAACATTATGAATCCAGGGAAGGTCAGTTACACCTGCCCTCGCTGCTTGAGTGTCTAAGCAAACTGATATTCTTCGTAGTTATACCCAGATGAAAATGATAAGCCTCATCATTAAACAACACTATTATTGCCATAAAGGCGGCATCGGTATAATCCATAGAGCTATAATGCAATACATGATTGAATGTCCTTCAACGTTCACGATGATGAGCTCTTGAAGTTATGATACTTCTCCATAGCTTCCCGCAGCTCCGTCTCCGCGAAAACGGCAGCTTCCTCCGCAACAGCGAGTTTCTTCTCAAGCTCGTCTGCCGTCATCGGCCTCAACTCGCCGTCCTGCACAACCATCCCAATGCTGTTGAATCGATTCAACGTGTTGCCGACGCGCGGCAAAAAGCCACTTCTATCCCAACCGCTGTCGTTGAATGAGAGCACTGCACGCACTGCGGCCGTATTGATGTCACGATGCAGCTCTTCCAGCTTCGACAGTTGCACCTCCATCCAACGCGCCCGACGCTCCAGTGCCAAAGTTAGGGCAGCAACTTCATCTTCTTTACCTGGCCCATCCTCACCTCCATCATCAAGGAAGTCGTCACCCTTGAGCATGTCTCGTAGAACTCCGTCGAACGAAGAACTGTCGTCCCAGGTTGTACGAGGAAGAAGGCGAAGGAGGTCCGAAATCGTTTGGGTGAGTGTCTCCAACAATTGTTGAAAAGAGGAGACAGCATTGTCGATCGATCCTGATGGCATATTGTTGGCAAATGACCCCCCGCCAACAGACAACGCAGAGAGGGCGTGGACTAGAGGACCATACTCAAGGGGCACCTTCGCTGGAGATGTAAGGCGCTGGATGTTAAAGAAAGGGTGATTGCATAGGTCTAACCCGGGGGTCACGGCGTCGATTTGCTCCAAGAGACGGTGAACACTTGTGGGAGCTTGATGATGATCAACTGAATGCGAGCGAGAGTTGGCAGAGCTCGAGGTTGTGGTGGGGCCATGAGGTCTACCCGCATCACTAACGGACGGCAAAGGTTCCTCGTGCGTCTCTTCCTCCTTTACAACCTTGACGGGTTTAACAATGGCCTTGTTCTTCTTGGGTTTCTTAGAAAGGAGGGGAACCTGTGTCGTTATATCATCTACCGGGGAATTTGTCGACTTCACGGGAGGAGTTGGCTTCGTCTTGGCCGGGCTGGAGATCGAATCCTGGCGTTTGTTGGTAGGGAAGGAGTCACTGGTCTTTGGAGAAGTCTTCTTTGACGTGGTGGGTTTCTCGTTCTGGGACTCTTGTCTTGATGGCTTCTTTGTCAGCTTGGACGGCACTGCAACTAACGGATTAGGCACAGGTTCGACAACTCTAGCATCTTTCGCGGTAGGCGCCGAATGAGGTCCAGTGTTTTTCTCCTTCTCGGCCTTCTCCTTCTCAGACTGTTTATCACGAATAACTTTCGCTTTTTCCGCGGCCTTTGCTTCCGCCTTCCCTTGAGCCAGCCTCTGTTTCTCTAAGGCTTTTTCAGCCGCTGCGTCCTTTCTAACGGCTTTACGTTCAGCTTTCTCTCGATCCTTCCCAGTCACAGCAAAAGGCGCCAATAGGTTTGTCGAGTCCTGGGTATTTGCTGCAACAGGGGGGTCTGGAGAGCTGGGGACGAGCGCAGGAAAGTCTTCGGGCGACAAAAGGGTTGCGGCGGTGGTTGAGGTCCAAGCTGAGACTAAACCGTGTTGGGAACAGAAGTAAAGTGAATGTTAGCGTTGCATCAGACGTCAACACTACACCAACGAGGAGGGGAGGGAGAAACATTAAGCTGGGTAACTTGGATCTTGTTTGACGATTGAGGCGAGCAGATGTGAGAGTCGAAAGGTGGAAGAAATCCGGATGGCCAATTATTGACGGTAGTAGAAATTCCGCACTGAGAAAGCACGGCACTCGGTACACTGACCTCCCTCCCCTCGAGATGAAACATAGAAGACTCACCCTGTGCGGAATTGCTGCGCCCATCGACAGCAACATTAGCGACTTGGGTATGCATCATTGACGGAGGAGTTGGACGTTGAAGACCGGGTGGAGGTCCATATGCCATGGAAGCGAAGACTTGATCATTTGTTGAGGCACTGAAACTGGCGGACATAATGGCTGGATCTTCGAAAGGCTGTGAAGACATATATTGAAGGTGCTGCTGATCTAGAACAAAGCTGCAGAGTAATGACAAGGAAGGAGGAAAAAAGTTCGTACCTGCTGAACCTCTCAACCCGTTAGTCCTTTCCTGGCTGGAGATGATAAAATTGCGTAGCTGTGCTTCGCTTAATTCATTCGTTGTGGGCTGAAGTCGATTCTGTTGGGGTTGCTGGAAATGCGTCCTAGCTGGGGCAGGCTGGGACACCGGAGAATTAGAGAGGGAATTCGGTGCTTGTAGATTTTGTGACCAAGCATGCAAAGCATTTGCTGAAGTTTCCTCTGTGGGGTTGCAAAAGTTATGATGGTCTCCCGAGTAAGCAAGAGGCGAGACAGAATGAAGGGGGGAAGCAGCAGTCGATGATTGGCGACCCCGGGCGAACCCGAAACGAGAAACTTTGCGTTCCTCGTCCACAGGAGACGACGGCATTCTCTGAGGAGATGACAATGCAGTGCTCTCCACCATCGCATCAGAAAATGGGTTGAAAGAACCGCTGTAGGCAGGACCTCTCGATGCTTGTTTTTCTGACTGATGTCCAGAAGATGGACGTAGAAGCGCTGGGTCATATATCGATGGATGCGGACCGTGACCATGCCCTATTGCAGGCGAAGGGCCGTATGGAGAACCAGATCGAAGGGCGGGGAAAGCGTCGATATATGAGCCATGGAACGGGGCACTGGACGTCACGTTGAACTCGAGAGCAGCAGTAGAATCCGCCTCATCTGCAAGTTTAGGGTCAAGATTGAAGCTGAATCCTCCACCGTCGTCCCCACTAAGAGTTTGCAGAGTTCGATCAAAATCTGGGAAAGGACTAAAGGCGGGAGCCAGAGGGAGAGTAGACTCTCTTCGCGCTTTTACATCGTCCAAAAGAGCGCGAGCGGCTGTGGACATTTGGTAGGACGATTGTGAGGCAAGCAGCGGAGTTTGGGGCGAGGCGGTCTCCGCACGAGGAGGTCTACTTGGAGATGATATTCCCGGCGGAGCGGACAAGCCAGGAGGTGCAGGCAGACCCGGAGGCGGTGACAAGGGATTCGGGACCGTTGGTTTGGATGTTGTAGGTTGAGGCTTAAGTTCCGAAGAATCTGTTGACTCTGGTCGTTCCAGCGGTATTGTCTCCGGCACGGTCGAACCCAAATCTAAGTTAGACGTCGACGCTGCAGGTGAATCAACAGCCTGTGGTGCAGGTGTCGTTACCTCCTTCTGTTTTGCCGTCTTGGTGTCGTTGGATATTTCTGTGCGACTTGCCTCGCTTGTTGCAGGAGTTGAAGGCCTTGAAACAGAGGAGGTCGCAATTTTCCGTTCCAGGATTGACTTGCCCTGGCTATATCGAGGTTCAGAGTGTCCTACAGTGCTTGCGACATTACGGGGCTGTCTAGTGTTACCCATTCTTCGTGATTGCCTCGAGATGGCATTGCTTGTAGCAGAAGAACTGGAGCCTGCAGCAGCCGATGAATTATTGACACCCTTCTGACCCCAGGAGGCAGCACGTGGCAAAGGCACTATGAAAGTAGTTTAGGGATTGAGATCAGTGATAAATTGAACCAGGCACATACCGTCCTCGTCACCCTTCTTTGCGGTGATAGTTCTCGTGCGGCTCTCGGTCGCCTTCATCGTGTGTTTCCTGCCAGAAAAATGTAAGAATCGGGCAAAACGTTTGGAACAAGCAACTGAAACGCACAGTGTGGTCAGATCCTCTTTCGTGAAACAATCCTTTTCATCACCCCATTCATGTAGATTCATGCAACTGTGGTCACTGCATGACACCCCACGAAGGAAAGTCATACAATACTTTGTAGTGCCATAGCTAGCCCTCATGACTTCCCTACCGCCTCCAGGAGAGGAAGTCCCGTCCACAGCGGCAATGGCCCGAGCGGCATCTTCTCTTCGATGATATGTAATATATAACCCGACAACGGGGCCTCCACCCCCAGGAGAGTTTCGCTTGACCAAAAGTATCTTGGTAATCTTGCCATATTGGCCAAAATACTCATTTGAACGCAAAGTCGGAATGAGCTAATGCAAACATTAAGAGAAAGGTCACAGCATGTAGAGAATGACAAACCTCTTCTTTAGCAAAGCGAGGTCCTATGCCAACCACATACACCACGTTTCTTTGTACAACCCGCACGTTAGCTAGATGCCGTCTGCCCAATGACTCCAGCTCCTTCCTCTCGCGATCCCTTTGTTTCTTCTGCTGCATAAGACGCTTGTGGCTGAATAATGAGAGAGTTGATAATAATTGTAAGAGAGTGTTAGCCATAGGCTTATGATATGGACGGTGTAAAGGCAACTGACTCTTGAGTAGCAATTGGCTTGAATTCAACCGCATCATCCGTGTAGATCCTTCGACAAGCGGGGCAACGCTTGTTCAAATTCTCCTTGATATGATGCCAACAAAAACGGCAGATCTGTGTAGGTGTCAGCAACAGAAAAACACAAAGCCGTGGACAATCACCTGGTAGCCACATATGCATGGCTTGAAATTAAGATCGGAGATGTCCATTTCTTCAAGGCAGAGAGGACATTCCGCGTCCTCCTACAATCAGGAATGCAGGCGCTCAGAGCGAGGGAAAAAGGAAAGAAACAGGTTCAGTGCACGTACAGTTTCGTCGTCGCTCCAATACGCGTCCTGGACGCCGGCCAGAACATAGGACTTGGACTGGGAAACGGAGAATCCAGCATGGACAACGGGCGCTGGGAGAGAATGGTGGGGATGGAGTCGCGTAGTAGACATGGTACAGAGGAGACACGGAAGGCGAGAAAGCACAGGGACGAGATTGAGAAGCAAGAAGAAACGCGATGTAAAAGCACGATGAGGAGAAAGCCTGTGCCTTCAGTTCCCACGATGGCTGCTTGTGCGTGCTTGCCATTGATTGGCCAATTAAATCTACTTAATAATCGGAGAGATATCTCGGTTTCTGATAAGATAACAATACGATTTCTCCTCCCTGCACTACACCTTGTACACGTATCCACCGTCTTCGATGGATCCCGCATCACCTGCAGATCCCGCCTCTTCTGTTGCTACTGCTTCTCTGTGAGTGTGTTTACCACGCACTCTCCAGCCCTTTTCACACCCACAAGTGATGCCTCAGGCGGCAAGACAGATACCCCCTCTCATGAACAGATAGTAACACCTTGGGATGTTCATGGATCTGTTTCAAGCGATGGAAAGCAACAGGCAATTGACTACGACAAGCTCATTGATCAATTCGGGACCCGCAGAATTGATGCCAAATTGCTTGAGCGCTTCGAAAAGTTGACTGGCCACAGACCACATGTCTTGCTTAGACGCGGCATGTTCTTCTCCCACAGGTCAGGGATCTGTCTACTGTCCATGGATGAAATTCACAGATCTCTTCAGGGAGTTCGACAAAATTCTCGATAGATACGAACAAGGAAAACCGTTCTATCTCTACACCGGTCGTGGACCAAGCAGCGACAGCATGCACTTGGGGCATATGGTCCCTTTTGTGTTTGCGAAGTAATTTTAGCTACATGACCAGTGGAGCGACGATACTAATGATATATTTCAGGTGGTTACAAGATGTTTTCAAAGTCCCTATTGTGATTCAACTGACAGGTCAGGACTCTTGGCCTGCATTGTTGAACTTCTCTCCCACATCGTCGTTCACACAGATGATGAAAAGTTCCTGTTCAAGCATGAACTCAAGCCAGAACAAACCAAGGTTTTCTCGAGGCAAAATGCGAAGGACATAATCGCCTGCGGTTTTGACCTTGAGCGCACATTCATTTTCAGCAATTACGAATACATGGGCGGTGCCTTCTATCAGAACGTCACCAAGATTTCTAGGCAAATCACCTACAACCAAGTGAAGGCCACGTTCGGATTTACGGACTCGTGAGCATTTTAGTTAGCCTTTGCTTCGTATCTCAACTCAGTTACAACAGGGACAATATAGGGAAAGTGCACTTCGCAGCAATCCAAGCAGCACCTTCCTTTGCCACGACATTCCCACAAATATTCGGTACCTCATCTGATATCCCTTGTCTTATCCCGTGTGCTATTGATCAAGATCCATATTTCCGGTTGACGCGTGACATTGCTCCAAAATTGAAGCATCCCAAACCTACGCTCATCCACTCGAAATTCTTCCCTGCTCTCCAAGGCCCGCAAACAAAGATGAGCGCAAGCGATCCGAACAGTAGCATATTTATGACAGATAAACCAAATCAAATAAAGAACAAGATAAACAGACACGGATTTTCGGGAGGGCAAGAAACCGAGGAGGAACACAGACGCCTTGGTGGTGACACTGAGGTCGATGTCAGCTACCAATATCTCACTTTCTTCCTAGAAGACGACGAGATATTAGAGCGCCTTGGAAAGGTATTGATCCATTCTCGTGGAAGAATTTCGGACCTAATCGGAGTGTAGGAATATCGTGCAGGATCTCTGCTAACTGGTCAACTCAAGGCCAAGTGCATTCAGGAGCTGCAACGCTTCGTCTCGGAATTCCAAGAGGTGAGGCTCGTTCCTTGGATTCTTGTCTACTTGTCGACGACCTTCGTTCAGAGAAGAGCGAAAGTGACAGAGGAAGGAATCAACGCTTTCATGGATGGCACACGCAAAATTACGCTGGAGATGAGCAAACCTGTCATTCAATCTGAAATCCCGGCTGCATGAGAGCGACCTCGCCTTTCTAACGTAGAAGAGAATCTACATGTTTTTGTATTCGAAGAATTGATTCAGAGGCATTGTATATACCTCTATAATGAAGCAGATCCCTCGACTTCGTGTACGTCTGTTTGTACGTCTGCTCGTGCCCGTTTTCCCGTTTCGTCTCTCCTCCCTCAGACACTTTATTGTTCTACCCCTGGGTCATCAGGCAATGTCTATCCTCGATTCCCCTCAATGCCTCTTAATTTTTTCTCTTCCCCTCCTATTCCATTAGTCTATGTATCCTTATTTTCTAGAGTATTGCATGACGGACAATTATTTAATACTATACCCTACACACCGTTGTAACTTTTGATCCTCTACTTCCCTGCTCCTCTATTCCCTTTCTCTCCCTCCACATGCGTTCATCTTCATCTCTCATCCCCTGTTTTTTTCTCCTTTCACATAAGCGCTTGCTCGGCTGCACTGCGCGTGTCTATCGTGTCAACTCTGCTCTTTCACATGAGCCACAGGCTTGCCTTTCCGAGTTCCATTAGCCTCAGACTTTAGTCTCTTGAGATTCCACCCCTTCCAAAATGTCAACTTTTGATCGTATGACACGGGGCTAGGTTCCGCATATTCTCAAGCCGCCAGTCTCCAAGTCAAGTCCTTGAGTTTCGTTCATTTTTGCGCCGTGATCCTACAGGAATTCGAGTTTCATCCGAAATTATTCTTCTGAGATTCTGCTCAGTGGCGGATTTTGTTTATGGCCGAAGCGAAGCGAGGCAAATATCTTGTATTCTATACTCATGTCCGGGCATAGGATGATTCATGCTCATCTTTCTTCGACCAGTCGAACAGCGGCTTGGACTGCCGACCTTTCCAAGCCTTGAGAGCATCAAGCGCTGCTTTGCCCCAATCAAAGGATTCATGATCTTCTGGAGCTGCTGGACCGTCGACGAAAAGCACCAGTGATTCGCTTGCAGGTCGAATGAACCCGGCATCTATGCTACTTTTGATGAGGACTCGAAGTGGCTCCCAAAACGAGAGGACATTCAGGAGCACGACAGCTTTGTTCGACCATCAGGATTGATTCTGAAATAATGGTAAGGGGCATACGTTTATCATGAATCCCGAGCTGAGACCAGGTGGTTACTTCGAGAACCTGAAAGAAGCCAGGAATAAGGATGGTGCTTGATCGTTCACAGGAGAGCAAAAACCTCTTCGAAAGTTCCAAACCCTCCAGGAAGGCCGATGAAGCCCTCCACACGTTTGGCCATTTCTACCTTGCGCTCATGCATCGATTCAACAACAATCTAAATTTTCTCAGTACCTTCGAAGAAAGTTTTCATTCAAACAAGAAACCAACAGTGTGGACCTTGCCAAAGTGGTTCAGGTAGTCAGAGTCAGTTTTCGTGCATAGAACTTAGGCAACAAACTCGGAAAGCATACCTTCCCCCGGCCAACTTCATTCAAGTCGACACATAGAGGATTGTCCCCCTTGTCGCCCTCGCCACCTCCAATAAGCATGGCCTTTGGAATGACACCAATCACCTCTCCTCCTTGTCCCAGAACGGCACCAGAAACTACACCCATGATCCCCTTCGATCCTCCGCCATACACAAGCAAGCGGCCATCAATAGCCAGAGCACGCCCCACGCCTAGAGGTCGGCGGAAAAAAAACATTTATAAGCTGGCTGGTATTCGTCTTGAGCTAAGGATGACTAACTGGCTGCAGCCGCTGTAAACGCAAGATATCTGCCCGTCGACGAGCCACAATAGACAGCGACTGCTGGTTTCACAGGGACTCGGAGGGTAGAAGACATGAGATTGGAAAAGGAGTTTCAGGTTCTGCTTCAGGAATTTGAGGGTTGAAAAAGAGTGGGATTGACCCGGGATTGACGGCGATATTCTTATGTTCTACCTACAGTACTTGTCATGACTCATGTTCGGTTATCGGGAGGTCGGAGCGAGGCCAACTTTCATAGAACTCCACAGGCTCAGAGGCGATTATATAAAAATAACAAAAGATATGATATTAAATAAGGATCCGCGGGAAGGCTCACTGCACACAAAGAGTCCCGCCACTTCGATGTTAGTTCTTAATTTCTCGTAACGCGCTAAGTATCTATTGTTGCGAGCAATCATTGGCTAAAGGGCTGGGGGGCCCGGACAAACAAGTACAAGCTCTTGTTGCGAGACTGGGCCGGGTCGATGTTGGTGAGCCGTATTTCGTGGGATCTAGGCCATATTCTCCTCTGTAAAGCTCCATACAGACTATCTGTATGTCTTATAAAATGTTTCTCCAAGAAAAAACACCTTTGGAGACCCTTTTTTGATGTTCTGGCGACCTTGGGCATGTCCCCTGCCATCACAGGCCCAGATAGGCCCGCGGGTTTTCCCACAGTCCGTAATATACTCTGCGCTCACACAACGCGCAACATTCCTTAGGGTCAGAATAAATACAAGGTAATTACACTGGATACTTTAGTGAAAAATGTTCTGTTTTGAGATGAACTGGCGAACTAGGATGGCGCAGCGAGCCCCCCGCTTCCAGCGGTTACTTACATAAATAATACATACTGTGGGACATCAAAATATACGCGCACAATCATTATTGTGATGATGCCGGATCCATGCAACCGTTCAAACTCAACACTGATTGGCAATCGTTATCCCATCGAACAGCAGGATTCCGAAAAAGCAGGACCCTGGAAGCTCCTAACAGGTCTTGGGCGAAATTTGCGGATCTGAGGCCGAAAAATGGCCAAATCCCTGTCCAAAATTTGCGGATTCAAGGGATAAAAAGCAAAATCCTTGTCCAAATTTGCGGATTTGAGGGCCCTGGGTTAGCCCGAACCGGGTGTTGCAACATCAGTTTTATTTTCTGCTTGTGAGTTTTGGTGATCCATCGCCGTTTTATCCCCCCAAAAAAGCCTCACAGGGTGAAGGGAACGGGGAAATCACCACAGCGGGAAATTGCCATTTTTGGATCAGAAGCATTGTCCAGATTTGCGGATTCGAGGCCGAGAATATTGCGGATTTCAGAGCGATTTGGGGGACAAGACGTAGGAGCTTCCCGGGTCTTGCTACCTCTATAATGAAGCAGATCCCTCGACTTCGTGTACGTCTGTTTGTACGTCTGCTCGTGCCCGTTTTCCCGTTTCGTCTCTCCTCCAGGCCTCAGACACTTTATTGTTCTGCCCCTAGGTCATCAGTCAATGTCTCATCCTCGATTCCTTCAAAACTTCTTAGCCTTTTCTCTTCCATTCCATTCCATTGCTTTCTGTGTGTCCTGATTTCCTAGAGAACCGTAGGTCCGTACACGAAGTTGAGGGATCTGCTTCATTATAGAGGTATTAATACTATAATACCGTACAGACGGTTGAGCCTTTTTTATCCTCTACTTCCTTGATCCTCTTTGTCCTTTCTCTCCCTCCAGATGCATTTATCTTTGTGTTTCATCCGCTGTCTTTTCTCCTTTCATGTAAGCGCCCGCTCGCCGGCTGCACTGCTCATGTCTATTGCGTCAAATTTGCTCTTCCACATGAGTCACAGCTGTCCCTTTCCGAGTCTGCCCCAGATTTTAGTCTCTTGAGATGGCACCCTTTCAAAAATGTCAACTTTCGATCGTATGACGCAGGGTAGGTTCTGCATATTCTCGAGCTGCCAGTCTCCAAGTCAAGTCCATGAGTGTCGTTCATTTTTGCGCTGAATTTCAGCCAAATTCACTCTTTGAGAACCTGTTCAATGACAGGTTTCGTCTACTTATAGCCGAAGCGAAGCGAGGCAAACATCTTGTCCCAGTGACAGAGCCAGGCCGAGGCAGAAAAGTTGTGTACAAAAGCTCAACAACGGGGAGGCATGACCCGATTTTTTGTTTGGATAAATGTACTTATCAACTCCAGGAATCTAATTCTATTTCTACCTTAAGCAAACAGCGCTGTTCGGAGGCATGAGCAAACTCGAGTTGTCCGGGGCTCAAAAGTCTGCACTGGAAACTTTGTACGTGTTTGTCCGGGCCTCCAGCCCCTATAGCATGCTCGCTTCGCTCGCAATGAAATAATACAAATGTTGTCTTGATGTTGCGGAGGCAGTACTCGACAGTACTTGGAATAACCAAGACGCATGTAAACATATACATAGTATTAATGTACTGTAGTGCACTGAAGGATAACCTCCCTATTTATCGCCGCCTGGGAGGTCCCTTAGGCCTGGCAAATCCTTTGGGATGAAAACCCGTGGCAGATGTGCTGGCCTCCTCATTTGTATACCCCATTTCAAGCTTCAGCAGAGCTTCGTCCAACTCATTTGGGTCAGAAGTCTCAACTTTGCGAGAGGCGAGGTTGGCTGTCGAGGGAGAGGTTGCCAAGATGTCTTTGGCCGCTTGATATGTCGATGTTGAACCTGAAGAATAGAGCATACGGTGCTTGATAGGCGACGAGGAAGGACACGAATATATGAAGACTAAAACGACATTAATGATCAGGTACAAGCAACTGAAGTGAACACTAGCGCACCGATTTCTCGAAGAGCGTTTGACTCAAAAGAGTGATTCCATGCGAAGAAGGCATAGCAGGGCTCTGAAGAGGGAAGTGAGGCACCCAAGGCAGTGACACTCGTCTCCGTAGCTGAGTGCAATGTGAGCGTTTCAGTCGCGGGATCAATGCTCTGGAAGAAGGGTCTTCCTCAAGGAGTGTCCTCAACTTCGATTTTGGACACAGCTTACGAGTATGACAAGAGAGTCCCCATCGCCCCTGCTCAACTCAACCACTGCGTCCTCAACTTCCTCGGACCAATTCAGGCCAACGCTGGTTCCAACATGGCTGGCTCTTGTTCTGCTGCCTTCATAAGAGGCTGATTTATTTTCAGCGGTGCGGAGATCAGCAAGCTCCTGCTCTCGGACTGAGAGGGGGTGCGGCGCAGTAGCATGCAGCTTATGAGACGCGTATGCCTCAGAGGTGAGATCGTCTTTCGATGTCGCAAATATAGAATCGGTGAATAGCGTTGACCCCAGGGATTTCAGTAGCAGCAATCTTGTTGAGGCATAAAGCATCTGTTTGACGAGCTCTCAGAGAAGGAAGTCCATGAGCGATCCAATCTCACCTTGCTGCGAACTTGGGCTGTGTCGGGAACATAACTGATGATAAGCCAGTCTGGTGATGGAGGGTCCAGCTTAGCTAGAACATATGCAGGGAAGTCTGCCTGCAAGACGTCTTCAGGTTGCAGTTGATCCAAGTCGTGCTCTAATGTGTCGCTGACGGGGATTGAAAGGTCGTGGACAAGGGATTCTGCATGATCAAGGATGAGAACAGTACGGTTGACTTGCTCCAAATCAGAGACCATTATGTATCGTTACTTTGATAAAACGAGTTGAATTGGATTGCACGGCTTCAGCGAAGACGGCGGCGAGATGAGCAGAGACGGTGATTCCTGATAAAGCGGACATGGTGGGGGTTGCTGATCAAAAGCGGATGCAGCCAGCTGCGCGACTTCACACTACTATCAGTGATACCTTCTACCACCATGTCCGCCCCATCCTCACCGCCCGCAAGTACGACACAAGTTCCCTACCTAGCGTACAAGGTTTGTGGAATATTCCCCCTCGTGGTCTGTGCTCAGAGTACCTTAGTCGAAAAGGCATTCGCGAAACCTCTCCAATCCTATGTCACATTTAGTCCCAAATCAATCGCCTCCTCCAGTTTCTAGACCGTCCAGTAGCGCGGGTTCGTCAGCAACACTCCTCCTCCAACCCCCTAAGTTGCTACTCGACCCTGAAGAAGTGGATCCCAACCTGTCGGGATTGCTTGACGCCGAATCTCGCCCTTCTGCTTCTCCAGGTTCCCCTCTTGCCCCCTCTACACTGGACCATATGCTATCCGTGTCTCCACCCCCACCAGTGATGAAGGACTTCAAAACCACATCTGAAATAGAACCCCCTCCTTCAATGGTTCCGCAAGAGGACCGCGGGCCCATGTCGTCCGACCAGCGTCCAGTTAGTACGGGAAACGCGAATACATCCTCTTTGAAGACAACACCAGGAACCTCCATGCCCTTTCCTAACGACTCTCAAGCCTCTCTGCCCAAGTCGACTCCCAGGAAGTCCTCAACATTCCGACGTGTTCCCTTGAAGAGTACTCGTGCCCCCCAGCCGTCTTCCCACCTCCGCAATGTTTCTATGCCATCTTTACCGCCCCCTCCCCCATCTGGAAACGTGGCACAAGAGGAACATCCAGCCTCAGTGACGCTGCCTGTTTCTCCGAGTCCGTCAGAACTTAATTCCCTGCCCGACCCCTTCCAACATCAGGACATTGCGCCTCGTTCAAGCCAGATAACCCCTCCCATTATTCCCCGACCCTCTTCACCGCCAACTCAGCCACTGCTAAGGTCAACATCGACACCTATGCCAGCAGACGTCGACACCGTGCCAGATCATGCCTTGAATTCTGTTCGAGCCCCCGTACGGAAGCCAGCGCCATACCGTCCTGGGTTCCAACCGAAGGGGGTATATCGCCCACTAACGGATGAATTCCTTGCTATCCGCCGTATAAAACGCGACGGAGAAGGTGACGCAGGTACGCAAAGGGTGGAACGTACCAAGTTAGAGCGACGCTTAGAGAAGTTAATTGCACTTCATTTCCCTGATTGTTCACAAAGGGAAGGGTCCAAGGAGAAGGCGCAAACGAGCATTGGAATGTTAAGAAATGAGAATAGGAGAGCATCTTCTCTCTTCGATTTCCAGAGTCTGAGGAATATCAGTGAGCCTGGCGAGCTCCTGAGGGTTTTCGGTGGTGGCTTTGGCGACGCGACGAAGAACGACATCAGAGGTTTGTTTCTCCATGATTGCTAGAGGATGCTAATATCGATTCCGGATGAATTTTCTCTTAGCGGTTGAACAGCGGATAACACCCTGGCAAGATGACGCGTCTGTCAACAAGTGTCCTCTGTGCCTGTGAGTTCTAACGCAATGTTTCAGCGGTCGTATTGACTGTCGCCTTTCTCTCCAACATTCGCTAACCGGTCGACAGTGCTTCATTTCATCCTCTGACCAATCGCAAACACCACTGTAGATTATGTGGGCAAATTATCTGTTCCTTGCCAATCAAACATCCCCAGCGGAAGGCACTTTGTTCAATACTTTTCGTCGTCGATAAACAGACTAGACAAATAGAAGAAGTGGGTCAAGGGGTTGATTATGGAGTCAGGAAAAGGAAGACAAGTCTTGCACAAGGGCAGCCAGCGAAGCAAGAAGAGGATGACAAGTTCCTAAAAGGTGTTCGTATTTGTCAGAAATGCAGGCCCACCCTCTTGTATGTCAGCGTCCCGATTTGCCTGCGACACTTGCTAACGTATTCCAGGAGACAACAGTACGAACAGCAAGCCCACACTATTCCACCGTTTGTTAAGCTACACGAGGTAAAACAATTTTACTGACGTTTCACCACCTCTGACGGCTTGCAACAGACCTTCATTAGTCTAGAGGCAGACATAGAAGAAGCACTTCCTAAATTCCAGGAACTTCTCATGAGTTTGAAGTAAAGTTACATACCATTTTAGTCTTCTGGTGCTTACAGCGCTCTTATTCAAGCCACCATGACCAGCCAACCAAGGAAGCTTCTGCGGCTCGAAAGCGTTTACTGGAGGCCTTTGCCCAATATGATAAATTGTCAAAGACAATACGAGCTTTACCGTGTCCAAACGGTGCCGGTAGCTCCCAGGATCGTCTTCAAATGGCCGTCATGACGAGGGCCAACCTATTTCTGCAGAAAAATATGTTTCCTCTCCAGGTGTTCTTCATTTCTGTTTTAAATCGAGTTGATGTGCTTATAGTCTGTAATAGTCATTACCGACGCCGCATTCAAACCGGACAGTGGCCAAGCCAAATGGGACATCAGTAGATGCCTCCACCTTGGTGCCTGATATGGACGCGGCTTTGGCACACGCATTGCAACCCCTCCTCGAGCAAGAAGCATTGTTAGAATCCTTCGTGGAGGAAGCGCAGGCGCAACGGAAGTTCGAAGATGTGAAGAGTCTGAAGATTAATTTGGCAGAGATTCGGCTCGAGATAGAGAAGCTTCTAGATGGAAGTAGGACATAGGTGGCGAGCTAGATGCCATTTACATCAGCCCTGTCCAAGCTGAGTGCTACATCCTCTTTAGTACATAGCACTCATAATCAACGGTCTCCGCGCGTTTGTTCGGCTCTTCTAGGCTCTCGAAGCAGTTGCTTGGACTGACTTTCAACTATAGCAATTTGACGAGCTTCACCCAGCTCCGAGTCGCTGCTCGCACACTTGTCTGGCCTGTTGTAAACATAGTTCAAATAGGCGCCACCCAATTTACTGGCCAACCGCTATAGCGAGCCGTACAACATATCCACTCCACTGTTCTGTGTTCTCGAAGCTCCTGCTTCCAGCGCAACAGGAACTTTTTGGCAAGTGAGAGCCCCGCTGATCGAGGAGTCCCTAGGAGGCACTTGTTAACGTTCTTGACGGTATACAAAACCCCTGCGTGCGAGCAACCCCTCGTTCCGGAATAATTTTGTAGCGCTCTTCTGCCCTCTTTTCTGGCGCAGGGTCCAAAGAGGCTGCCAGTATTGATGTTTGTATCTCATTCGTGTCATGAATTAAGGAAATCTACATAATGATACACAGCATGCGTATGACAGAAATCGGTATGTGTAATAATCAAAAGAAATAATGATATGATATGATTTTACACCGCTTGATATGGCGGATGTCAGGATGTTCTAACGACCAAGTGAACCCATAAAACTCGACAAGTCCAAGCCATCATACTCCTCCTCTGCAGGCAAATCCTCTAAGCCCTGCAAAACATTCTTTTGCGAGACAGGACCGGATTGATCCTTGGCTTTTCCCTTTCCAGATGCAAGGGCTTGTTCCTCCTCACTCGTGCGTCGGAATAAATCTAGTACAAGGTCTGTGTCCATGGATGTCAGCCCAGAGTTCTGTTGGGTGACCACTGAATTTGCGATGTTGAGTTTAAAGCGTTGGAGGCTAGACATAGCCATGAGTGTCTGGGGGATGAATTGCGAGAGATTCCAACATACCCCATGATTTTTTCTTCCAACGTCCCCTTTGTGATCAAGCGATACACGTTCACAACTTTCTTCTGACCGATTCGGTGGGCTCGATCCATTGCTTGCAGATCTTTCATCGGATTCCAATCGTGCTCGACAAAGATGACTGTGTCAGCCCCCGTTAAGGTCAGCCCCAAGCCGCCGACATGTGTAGTCAATAGAAGACAGTCAATGCTTGGATCAGCGTTGAATGTTTGGACAACAGCATGCCGCTTATTTGCATCAGTTCCACCGTCCAGTCGCATGTATGTCACCGATGGCATGTGAGTCTTGAATAGGTCGGTTTCGATTATGTCCAACATTTGCTTCATTTGACAGAAAATCAAGACTCTGTGCTGAGAGAATGATGCAGTATTCTCTGCCTCTCCAAGTTCGCTCTTCTGTGCATCAGAACCAAGACCCGAAGCGCAACCGATGCCACAGTCCAACAAGAGCTGCCTACATAGATCATCAACAACAACTTGACGGACGGAATAACATGATGTACATACCTGAGAGCCAGCAGTTTCGGTGCATGCTGGATATCGCTAAGGCCTCCGGACTCTGCGGATGAAGGAAGATGGCTGAAGGCAGAATCTATGGCGTCTTTGTTGGATTTCAGCACGAGGGCGGGATGGTTGCATAATTTCCGGAGATACTGAAGCGATTGGAAGACGTGCTGCTGATCCTCTTTGGATCCGGCGCCTTGAGTTCCCTTCACACTGTCCGTAGCGGAAAGTCGCGCCTTCGACTGAGCGAAATCATCATACAGGTACTTCTGTAGCTCAGATAGCTCACAGTAGTAATCCTGTATAATTTTAGGCGGCAAATCATGTAGCACATCCTCCTTCAAGCGTCGCAAAAGGAACGGCAAGACTTGTTTGTGAAGAGCCTCAAGTGCAAGTGCAGCTTTGATCAAACACCCAGATAAGCAGCTTGAATAATGGGTGACGGGTAAGGACAAACCTGCTTCGCTGTTCTTCGATTTACCGTCCCTATTGGAAAGGATAGGCTTGCTGAAACGTTCGTTGAAAGAAGATTCGGAACCAAGGAAGCCAGGCATGAGGAAGTCGAATAAACTCCACAACTCGAGAACGTTGTTCTGTATTGGGGTGCCGGAGAGGATGAGCCGATGTTGGGCGTGAATATTCTTGACGGCCTTTGTAAGTTTCGTCTTCGCATTCTTGATGACATGACCTTCATCCAATATGCAATACAGCCACTTGTAACCCTCGAGATTCGCTATGTCATTGCGGACAACCTCATAAGACGTGATAACGACGTCGTAGGACTGGAATTTTGACAGTAATCGAGCACGTTCTCTTGAATTGCCTGTGTAGAGCACTGGCCGCAAATTGTCCGAGTACTTCTGGATCTCATAATACCAGTGACCCGTCAAAGTTGGCGGGCATATGATGAGGGAGGGCAGATGCACTGAGTCTGGGGAACTAGTTTCATGATGTTTCTCTGCCCGTTCAAAATGCTTGCTGGCGAGAATGCAAATCGATTGGAGAGTCTTTCCGAGGCCCATATCTGTCGTCGAGGGAGATGAGTGTCAAGTGAATGCATCAGGGCATCATCCATACCATCACATAGAATACCATGCAACTGATATTTAGCCAGGAACGCCAGCCAGTTGACGCCTTCCTGTTGATACTTGCGCAACTGTGCTTTTATGGTCACCGGTAAGATGTACTTCTGGACCTTAGAACCATCGAGTAATTGGCTCAAGAAGTCTCGTTCTGTCTCACGGCGCTTTAAGAGCTCTTCTGAAAAGCCGGGGGGATCAGGAAGTCCAACCTTGAAGCCGGCGTATTAATGAGGAAAATCGTTAATCATGACTGGAAAGGCTTACCTCCAACGGGACCATCTTTACCAGAGATGCGAAGGTATTGGTCCCAGTAGAACGTATATCATCGTTTGGGTCACTCATTCGGCCCAAGACTGGTACCACCATGAAAATCACATACGGTAGTGCCTTAATGTCGAGGCGATTTACGATATCTAGGGGGAGGTTGGTTAATTTACATTGGAGAGCCCAGGGCAGGAACTTACGGTAAATCAACTCCATTGCTCCCTGTCGGTTCGTGAGTACCAAGGGATCTTGGAGCAAAGGTATCATCCTCTCAATAACATAACGCATGGCCTCTGGAGCCATCACGTCGCAAACAACGGCAAAGCAACGAGCAGCAGCTTGTCGAATGATCGCAAAGCGACTTCTGAGGGCCAACTCCATCATAGGAAAGATCTCTTGAAGTTTAGGCCAGAGTGCTTCATGGAAAGTGGGAATGACAGCCTCCAGGACGCTCAAAGAATCGATGACATCCTGACCGTATTGCTTCTCGATGGCTCCATCCGATTGTTCGGGCGATTCTGTGTCGTGATTAGTAGACTTGTTCCGATGCACGAACTGAAACGCACCAGTGGAGCAGGCGCTTAACAATCCTCCTGCCATTGAATGCCACATATGCGGGAGTACATCCAGGAGGCGAGCACCGAACTTGGCAGATAACTGTTGAAATGCTTGACAGGCTCCTCGACGCGCGAGTCGAGCCTTTTCTGATTCTGAACTCCTTTCTACTTCCGATCGGTTCGCATCCCCATTAGCAGCCTTACTAGGCTTTCCAGCTGCTGAGGCGCTAGTGGTAGGGAAGGACAATATCCCATCAGTGACTTTGCGGAGGAAAGCGAACGTGGGTGTTTGCTCGACATCTTGACAAAGGAATGTGCATAGATTCTTGACGATCTTGTCGGGAGGCTGAGATATGTTATGCTCAATACAGAAGTGTATGAAAGACGCGACCGCGGCAGCTGAGCGAGCTTGAAGATCGGTGTTTTCCTCGCTCTGAGAAAGATTGATAAGAAACATTACAAGGAAGGAAACACGAACAACGAACCTTGATGCCGTTCATTATCCCTTTCACGACAGGACTGACTTTATCTGGCGTGCTTTTAAAAACGACAAACGCAGCTGCAAAAGCAGCAGAGACACGAATATCGTATTGCGCCTTCACTTCATTATACCGAGCAATGCTGGTAAGCACTGCATTGCGTTTGTCTGCGATGACGGCTAACTCTTTCTTCTTAGTTCGTCCCAAGGAATCCTTCAGCCGATTATACTCGCTTCCCATGGCCCAATTAGCTTTCTCTATGGTGAAGGATTTTTCTTGAGTTCCGGAGATGTCAATTTCGTTTCCGAGAAAGGGTATCGATGACGTGGGCAGCTTGCAGTCCGTCGAGAACAAGTGAAGTAAGGACACGCAGTCGGCATGGATGCGACTGAGAGCAAATGCCATCTCGTGGTAGGCAGGGGGAGGCTTGCCTTGCAGCCATGCAAGAAGCTTTACCGTAAGCTCCTGCGCCAAAGAAGATGATTCGAGGAGTGGCTTATGGGACTCTTGTTCCTGCTTGACATCGTACTGCCTCGCCCATTCTTCAGCTATGGTCGCAGCGAGGAGTTTTTGCAGCATACTAGTCGAGTCTATGTAGTGAAGAAGAATGGGTTTGAAACATTGATCAACTGGATTGTGCTGAAGGAAGTCAGCGTTGGCGTCATCATCAAAAAGGTAAGCCAATCATACTTCTGTTGGCCAGCATGTCATCAGATAAGCTAAGGCATTCGCGGCTGCAACTCTAGCCTTCAGCGTGACTTCAACCGTTATAAGAGATAGGTCCTGAGCCAGCATGTTTTTGTCCACATTATGGCGTTCCAGAGGGAGCGAGCCTGAAACCTGTACTGAGGGGTTGTAGAACGTCGATGCGTCGATGGCCACGCCGAGAGGTGTCATTACAATTGCATACCACTCTAAGATTAGCTGTTGCGTCACAACATTTTCCATCCGGCCAACGGATTTTGTCAGGATAGATAAGGCAGTTTGCCATGCAGAAAGGCTGGCGTCTCGAATGTCGGGGCGTTCTTCGCAAATCAAGTTTTGAAACAAGAGAGACAAAAACGGCGTCGCAATCCAATCTTGTGGCAACGATGGAACAAACATGAAGGAGTGCAAAGTCTTAACAACAGGAAGGCGAACGTTGGGGATTGTATGACGGAAGAAAGGGAATAATGTTTGCGCCAGAGTTGAGAGAGGTAAGCTGCTCCAGTGTTAGTAATCTTATGTCATGCTGGCAGACGTTTACGCACGAGGAGTTTTCTTGCCCCAAAATCTCGATCACTCGAGGATATGCTACCAACTTTCCTAGAGGAGTGTGATAAAAGCATGCTCATGAATGGCACGAATACTCACCTAATAGATCCATGACTACCCCAACACTGGAACTGAGATCGTCTTTCATATCGCAGAGGCAACGCCAGAGAACAACCAAGATATTTTCTAGTGATTCAGGGAGCTGCTTCACGATATGCTCTGCAACAGGCAGCAAGCAAGAAGCAGCGACCGACTTGACATCATCGTCTCGATCGCCGAGCCTGAATGGAATATATTTTAGTCCAGTGGGCAGTTGAAACTGGAGACAACACACCCCAATATCGCAGCATCGACGACGCCCTGAAGAATGTCATGCCCGCTGTCATGCGACTCGCCGTCTTCAGATTTCACAGACGCAGACGGCCCGTCAACAAGGTCGCTGCGAACAGCAACTTCGTATTTGATTCCAAGAAGTCCGGCATGCCGAACTTCCCAGACGTGAACCTTGTCCGAGTCTGCTCTTGACTTCTGCGGAAAATTGCCACAAAATTCTTGTCGAATCATTTGTAATAAAACAGAATGGACATGTAAAAGAGAACGGCGGGGCATATGGATGAGCAACGAGGCTAGTGTCTGCGATACTGTCTCTCGGACAGGCGCTACGACCTGCGCACGATGGATGAGGTGAAACGAGCAAAATGGACTTGTAGCATACGAACCTGGTCGGTCACGAAATCGCTGAAACGATCCAACACAAATATGCACAAAAGTTTCGCGGCAAGAGAGTTGCACCATTTTTCATGGGCGATGGCGTTCTCCTGCGTCGAGAGGTTGTCTGAAAACCCGCAAATGAGCTCATGAAGGGATGTAAATGTCGAGTTATTACCTCTCATCCCTCCGTATTTTCCCTGAACCTTCAGCAACTCTCGAAGTGCCATAGCAGCACCATGCCGAACCTCCCAGGAAGGGCTAAATAAGTCGACTTCCAGAACTTTGACAACACCATCCCAAACCCAGACTCCACTTTCGACCTCTAAAGCTTTTGATTGCTTTGCAGACTTCGGTATGATGGCACCACCGTTACTGGAATCGGGTGTCTTATCTGTTCCGTTCGCGCCAGGCATTGGACTGGACAACCGAGAATTTGGCGCTGTCTTTTCGTCTGCGTTGAGAAGGCGAGCTCTGTGAAGACTGTGAGATATCCCGGTGCACATCGTCATCCTGATGCTCACTTATTAGAAGAAGGCCCACTTGGAGCAGCTGCGTACTTAGCACCAGCTGTTTGAGGCGGGGGTGCCACAAATGCCGAATTTCCAGGCTTGCGCTTACGTTTCAGTCGATTGATCTCCCGAGCAGACAGTGGGGTAGCATCAGCCTCGGGTGGGACATCTGGGGACGCAGGAGAGGGGAGAGTCGGAGTCACGGAACGCGTAGAAGGAGAGGATTCTTTCACAGGCATAGGCTCAGGAGGACAGACATCCATAGGGGATGATACTGCTGTGTCGGCAGGATTAGGAGCTGCAGATGAGTCGGTTTCCATCCCAGCAGCAAATTCCTTGTCGAGGTCCATGTCATCGTCTACACCATCCAGAAATCCAAGGCCGAGGCGAGTCATTGCTGCTTTACGCGCCTTAATGACCTCTTGCGCGGTTGAGAAAATGCCAGTAGGTTTCGCGAATTCCTTGCCCGATGAAGCCAAAAGCAAGTTGCCTTGGCCGATCAACTCCTCGATAGAGAAATTGGGAAATTCTGGAATGGATGCCTCTTCCGTCGTATTTGAGGAATCGATATGACCCTCTCGCTCCGATGGAGGAACCCAAAGAGGGACTAGGGAGAAGATTTGGGACAGAGCCGAAGATGCCGCTGTACGCGCTTCAAAAGTCTTCAAGTGTAAAATGGGGATGATCTGGGCGGAAAAGCAATCAGACGCCACCACAAGGACAACCAGACGCGTTGCAGCATACCCGCGCGACAACAGACATTAGCTCTGCCCAGGCCACACTGTCGTTAGTTACTATCTGCCGAGTTGTACCAGTTTTAATATCGTCCTCGACAATGGCGACATCGCTGATGACACTCTTGACTGCAAGGTGGGCGAGTTGTTTTGCAGCTGTGTTCCTCACTGAGGAGCTTGTTCCTGAATCGAGAAGGGTGAGGAGCCTGTCCAATCTGGGTTGCGAGCGTCATGTCAGTGAATGGTCTGGCTGTAGGGAATCCAACTCACCGTGAAGTCATCCCGGAACTGGCAAGCCGGGCCGGACGTGATCGGGGCTTTTGTCAGAGTTGCAGGTGGAGCGTGTTTGGGTCTGTTTGCGGGGGGATTTTCTGGGTGGAGGCCCTCGCCTTTAAATCTTCTCTGATGTGCTGTGACTTTGCAGCGTGATGGTCACACTTCTTGCCAAATTTAGCATAGCCCATCATACTTCCTGAAAAACGTTCCGACACAACCTCTGATACTACTAGTGATTTCCCTACACCCTTTAGCTTTGTGTCCACAAACCACTTGCCAGACACATCATCCATGGAATGGGAGCGTGATGTTGCGTGTGGTATCGCTCGCGAATCGGTTCCTGACGGTGAGCGGTTACCTTTCCTCCCAATTGCTACTGTCTACACTGTCTACACTGTCTACACTGTCTACAGCATTCTAACCAATCTCTCACTACCAGACACATTTCAAGGGTGTAGGCCACTTGTTCGGATTCATGACGCCGCTCGCGATATTTCAACTTGTCAACGTGAAGAAATGTGGCCCACCTGGCTGCTCGACGAGATCGAGACTTCCCATGATAGAATGCGTACCGCTGATCCGCGTGAACTGAATATATTCAGGAAAGTTTACACAGATGCATGCATTGTGCGAGCACTGGCGCTGTCTCTGAACAAGTGTTATGTTGAAGCCGTCTCTTCTCTTGATCACGCCATCGTCATTGCTGGACCATTTGGAGCCGGGCGATTGGAACTCATCGTAAACCTTATCCAAAGAATCCAAGTACACATCCCAAGACCATTTCACAAGATTGACAACGCATTTGTCGCGCCCTCGCACTTCTCCGCTACTAGTAGTCTGAAGTGTACAATTCCTTGCCTACCATCTCCCCCTTCCTTCATCGCGTTTCAATCCCCTTACTCGCGTAGCCCCTTCGTCTTGCGAAATTATGCAGCAGAGTGGCCTGCGTTGCAGGAACACCCTTGGAAATCCATTGCTTATCTCCGTTCTGTAGCTGGTCCAGGTAGAGTCGTTCCTGTCGAAGTGGGAAGCGACTACCGCTCAGACGACTGGGAACAAAAGCTGATGCCATGGGACGATTTCCTGTCTTATCTCGACTCAGAAAGGCAACCAACCACGGAAGGCGCGTCGGATATACTATATCTGGCGCAACACAACCTCATGAGACAATTCCCTCTCCTCCGCGAGGACATCGTTGTCCCTGACTATGTTTACGCTTCATCCGCCACACCTGCTGGCTATCCTGGCTACAGCCCCCCTTCAAATGAAGAGCAACTTCTGTTGAATACATGGTTAGGACCCAGTGGCACTGTTTCTCCTGCACATATCGTACGTAATACTTTCTTATGGGTTTTTGCTCTTGCTCAAGGAAAATCAGGATCCTTATTACAACATATATGGTAGGTTCCTATTCAATCATATACTGGCCATGTCCACATAGTCTGCAGTCCAGGTTTCAGGCCGTAAGTCAGTGTGGTTAGCTCCACCCACGGTGTCTTCATACATGTACTCGTTCTCGGCCGTCTCATACAGCGAGCCAGATCACCCAGTGGCAGGACACTTTCCGAGTTCGACCATGGCAAACACGTCGCGTATTGATGTATTCTCAGAGGATCAAAACGGCTTCCCGGACTTTGAAAAGAACGTTGTTCCGGTGTCTATGACTGCCACTCTCGATCCCGGAGACATGCTTTTCTTCCCGCCTGGTTGGTGGCACGCTATGAGAAGTGAGACCACGAGCTTCTCGCTTTCTATGTGGTTCTAGCAGGAATACTCGTTTATTACACTTCGCGGAGATTTTGTTGGTACGTAATATCGTAACATAGTCATTTTCTACATCATCGAGATACCATATACATAGTGTTTTGAAAGTTCGTTAGGGAGAGTCAAGGGAGAGTCGTGAGTCATGAGTGCATGACGTCGTCTATTAGGAAACCGGTTGATTAACCACGTGCCAACGCCAGTCGACCGCTACAGACCGCTACGTTGATTCAGGGATAACTCTGTCGCACTTGGGCCCTAGACAAGTGTTGTTCTCGCTCACCGCTACTCTCCTGGCCAACATCCCCAGTGCACCTCGGACACATTGCCTCATTTTTGCCACTGTTCGCTACGTTGCTCATCCACGATCTGCCCTACTTGCCATTATCCGTACTCTTTGCATGCTGCCTAGGCCAATTGCGACTAAGTATCCGCCGAACTTTCTGAAGCAATAGGCTTCCTACACCCCAATGCCTACTCGAGATGACGAAGAACCAAGATTATCGCCTTTCCCAATTCCATTGTCCTCCGCTCACATCTCGGATGCGATAGATTATTCGCCGGATGGCGGGGTCACCATCTACCTATGCAAGCTGAATATATCTGAAATTGGCCCCCCCGAGGCAGAGGAGCTAGCTTATGGTGGGCAGCACGGACGTCAGGAGGCAGATTCTATTGTTCAGAGGTAACTGCCCTTTTTTCTCGTTACTCTTGTCTTATTCACCAAATTCAGGCTCGCTTTGAAGTCCAATCGTATTTACTCTCTCCCCGCCGAATTCGCTCTCCTTTCCCGACTCAGATACCTCAACTTGAGGCACAACATTTTTACAGAGTTCCCGGATGTGGTGCGTTTTGCTAACTCAAAAGCCAGCACTCGATTGAAAGAAACTAGTTGATAGCCATGCCAGCACTTGACACATTGGACATGAGCCACAACAAGATCAGGCGGTTGCCCACTTATGCTGGAAATCTCTCCAGGTTAAAGGTGAGATTGCGTTCGCGTCTAAACCGTTGTCACTTACGGTCCGTTAGATCCTATGCCTTTCGCACAATAAAATCGCGCGCCTTCCGACATATCTTGCACAATTCCGCCTTCTCGAACTTTTCCAAGTCGATCGCAATCCCATCGAATGGCCTCCCCCGACTGTTTTAGAATCTTTTGGTGACCTCCCAGATCTAAAGAACGGAAAAGACTGGATACGAAAACTGCAGAATTGGTTGGACGGCGAAGGCTCGAAAGGCCGGGACGATTACGATGATTCCGGTTATGGAGAACAGCCAGAACGGGAAAACGAGCGGTATGTGAACCTTCCTTTTGTACTGGGGTCTCCTTTCGAAGAATTCAGGTCATACAGCTCTTGGCGATTTCCTGTACGCGGCCCAGGGCTTGATCCTGGACTTACTCCCCATGCCCGGTCTTTTTCGATCGACTCTGCAACATCTTTATCCTCTATTCTCGAATCTTCCTATGAAGACGATTTCATCAAGCAAAATGGACTTTCGAGTGCCAAAATTCCCAATGGGGCTAGTCTAAACGGAGGGCTCAAACCATCAGACATCGGCGATGTGCATTCGGCGACATCAGGTCAACACGGCCACGAATCAATGCCGGTACCCGATCCAATGCACCTTCGGACAGCCTCACATGCAAGCAGTCTCCGCAAGCCTCCTTCGTCCTCCATGGGTGGAAAGAAGAGCCTCCCCGATCTTCGATCTACTCCGAAAGACCCAGCGAAAAGAATGCCAGTTGTGCTGGAACGTAAATCACCTTTTCCCCCATCAGCAAACGACAAGTCTTCCGAAGATATACCAACGTCTCCAACGCCGTTAAGGCAAGACTCTGGGTCGTCGTCTGCGTCTTTTCCTTCCACATACCCGGAGGAATATCCATCGGGTAATACCCGTGTCCTTCCTTTAATTGCAGCCGAACGTAATTCCTATTTTCGACGTTCGTCCACCATCCACACCAGCTACCCCCTTCCAAAGTCTCTCAAGATCTTGCTTGAATGTGCACGCAGCATACTATTTGCTATGGGACAGCTGTATCAGACGCTGGAGCAGTATGTGCAACATGGAATCAGCAATCATCTTATATCTTCATTCAAGAAGATCCTGGACCCCGCAAACGTCAATATGTTGCATTTAATTCGTTCACTTGATCGATTCGACGACGTCAGTCAGAAATCGACCCCTTCACCTGCTGTCTGCCGTGGGCTGGTGGAATCCTGTCGGGATACCGTAACGGTATTCCGAAAAGGCATTGGATCATTGAACATGCCAACCAGTACGGAGTTGTCTGACGATGCACGATACATTCGATGGCTCATCATCGAAGTGTATGCTACAACTGCAGAACTCTCGTTTGCATGGCAGACAATGGTTCCTCATGTCAACACCCTTAAACCGTACTTGTATGGGACTGTGTTTTCACAAACCACTTCGTATCCTTTTGGAGCGGACACCTTGGGTTCAACATCAAGATCCCACCCAGGACAATTGGCGCCATCTGTCCGTCTACGACCCATCGAGGGGCTGCCGTCTGGTGGGAGAGTACGTACAAGTCGACGCCATGCGGGTTCCTTCAGCTCCAAGGACGTGGAGATTGGTAAGGACCTTCCATCGTCCGATCTCCCGCCAAATATGATGGGCGGCGTGGCCACACATACACCGACGCTTAGGACACCTAAACGTCAAGCAACAGCACCAGCCCCTACCTCTACCCCAAGCAGCTCGATATTTCCCCCCCAACCATCTCCCTTGTTCGGACATGCAAACCCTTTCCATCTTCCTCAACAGTCACAGGGATCTTTCCTAGATCCTCCGTTAATATCGCCCTCTATATCACAGGAGTCGCCTGGGATCAGGCCACATGCCCACAAAGATGTGCTTCAGGCTATTCAGGGCACTATCGAGGTGGCTCCTACGGTGTGGGATCAGATAGAGGAAGCTTTAAGTGACACTGTCACCACAAACCCCGAACTTCAGGAGTCTCTTGAGCTGGCTCGTTCTGCGACGAAGAGGTTGTCTGATGACATAGTTGCCATGTCCGAAGGATTCTCCGCTGCAGACAAAAGAGTCTTGCGCGAGGATGCCCATCTTTTCCTGAAGGTATTTTGCCGTAACTTCTCAGAGGATTTTTAAGAGCTGACGATTGAAACCACCAGACTCTCGTTCAGTTGTCCAACATGCTCAAGACCAAGGGTAATTCCCATCCTGTTCCATCAGCTCTGAGTGCCAACATGGTGAAGTTGACTAATTCGACTGAGCAATTTGCTGTCTTGCTCCACGTTCCTTCTGTTTCACCCTACCCTCCACGTTCCACCTCGCCTACATCTAATCTCAAGTATGCGCCATATAATGCGTCCTCCCACCTAATGGAGGACAACCAACTACCCTCTAGCCTTTCGAGATCCAAGAGTGCACAGCCTATTCTGACGAATGCCAAATCATCATATTCATCACCCTACGAGAGCCCTCGGACGACGACTCCTCTATCGATAAAGAACACAAGCGTAAGGCGATTACGCCTCGCCCGCGAGGCCTCGAGTGATGCTCTTGACCCAGGGTGATGATGCTGACCTGCTTGCCGCTCGAATAACTTCAAGTATTGCGTTCATCTTCCGTTAGAGATATTATTTAGGTTGTTGTATGCCCATTTGGCTGAATTCGCGTGTGTAATGTTGAAGAACGTTAGCTCTGCGGCTCAGAAGATAAACGTGCTTGTTCCACCGCTGCAGTCTCAGATGGGAACTTATGGGAACTAGCTGTTTTCGGCCTGACATCCGCCCGCAGCCTGTAAGGATCAATGGGTAACGAGTGCCAGTCGAATGCGGCTTCTTCCTTCCCAAGTTCGACTGCTCTCCTACCTGGGCAATAACATTACTTGCTATGAAGGTGGTCATCATCGGCGCTGGTCCATCCGGCCTTGTGACCTGCAAATCCCTCCTTGAGGCAGCGGACACGGAGTTTCTATTTGACCCAATCGTCCTGGAACAAGAAAAAAGTATTGGGGGAACGTTTAGATATCGTTCATACGAGGTGTGTTCGATGATCTATATGGTTCGTTCTCATATTGCGTAGGGGCTGAGTACAGTTTCAAGTTTTCCAACTTGGTGTCCTCCAAGCAGTTGACGAGCTTCTCGGATTTCCGCCTGCCACTCTCTCACCCTGACCATTTGACGCTAGATGTAAGTCTCTTTCGGTATGCCCTCTGCGAAGTTCGAATTTTAGCTGATGAATTAAGCGTAGCAATATGTGGAATATCTCGAGAGATACATCGAGCACTTCAAGTTAGAAGCCCGGATTCAACTCAAATGCAAAGTCGTGAAAATTCGACGTGTCTCGCATGGTCAACACGAGGTATCTTTTGTGCGAAGAGAAGAAGAAAGAGGGGAGTGGAGGACAAGTACGTGGTGCCAGTTCCAGCTGCTTGACTTCGTGTGGTAATCTGAAAGCGTGCCTCTCCCAGCTGCCGAAACCATAGTGGCAGACTATGTCGCCGTTTGTGCCGGCCTCCATGTCACTCCTTCTATCCCTTCTATCCCGGGGGTTGAAAACATACTCAAGCACCGCCCAGAGGGCGAGCGTCATACCCCCGCCGTCTTTCACTCGATTGATTACAAAGTCAGGAGTCAGCTGGCTGGAAGACGGGTTATGATCCTCGGTACAGGGGAGACTGGGATGGATCTTGCGTACGAAGCCGTCAAAGCAGGAGCTGAACAAGTGGTCTTATGTTCTCGGGCTGGGTTCGTTTGACAACCTCATCCGGTGCTTTCATTTTTCGAGTTCTGAGTCCTTTTCCAGCTTCTTATCAATTCCAAAGGCCTTGGTAAGGATCTTCAAAGCTCATGAATTTATATGAAGACATCAGCCTTCTCGCAGAATGATTTCGAGATACTGGGCTTCAAATTCGCATCGAAGACGCCAGTACCCATTGATTCGTTAATCACGAATTTAGGGGAAACAGCATATGTGGTGCGTTGGTATCGTTTGAGACGTAGTACTCGTCAGCCTAAGTAGTGAAAAGCATCCCTGGATTGCTAGGTCTCATCTCAGATGGTTGTACGTGGATCGTTTCTTCATGAGTAATCCCGGAATTCATTTATGCAGCGTGTCGGATTTCGTCATCAAACACGTCTTGTGGCTTTTGACAGGTACTAAGCCTATTATCTGGTTATCTTATTTATCTGAAAGGTGCTCACTGAAACTTTCTACAGGAACACGGGTGGGCTGTAATCAATGGGTACCTTTTCCAAAAAAAATCCGGAGGACAGTCTACTGAATACCCTAAACAGGTTGGGGAGTTGGCACCGGAGAGACTGGGAAGGGCATATGTGTTTCTCAACAAAGCAAGCGCGTTTTTCTTTTATTTCTTGTGATATCGTTGATGATGTTCCCTAGTCCCACAAGGCGATGCCTTACCTGAATCGACCTTACCGTAATCGACCTTGGTATATGGAATATATCTCTCGTTACATCGACCCACCGGAAGACTCTCCGCCCAGAACGGATTTTGTGGTGGAACTCGCTCCATTCCCAAGCCACATTCTCCCGAATGGCCGTGTCGTTTTCAAGTCCAGTCGCCGCAAAGATGCTATACGGATTTCCAAGATGGATATCAGACCCGACACCGTGGTCTATGCGACTGGCTATACTCAGCAATTTGACTATCTCGACGAAGCTAGCGAATACCCTGTTCCTAGCGATGCAGACCTTCGAAGCATTGCCAAAACCGGCGATGAAAGCATTGGTTTCATTGGCTATGTACGCCCGGGCGTTGGTGAATCTCAAATCTGATAACTACATGTCATGATTGTGACCCGTGTCCTTCGCAGGTGCTATACCACCTCTCGCCGAGATGCAGGCGTTTTTCTGGATCTCTTTGATCAAGAAAGAAGTAAACCTACCCCTCTTCCCTTCACATTATCATCTCCTGGCCCGCAAAGAGGCTAGGATTCAATATGGTGTCGATCATTCCTCGTACATGAGCACACTGGCAAAAGATATCAGTGCTGCTCCAGGCTTGTTCTATCTCTTGTTTCAACACGGACCGCGCATATTGCTCTGCTACTGGTGGGTTTTAACTGCATTTCTGGCTCTCGTTTAGCCGAACTAAAAACGATCTTGATCAATCATAGTTTTGGTGCTGCATTCACTCCCTTCTACCGCCTCGTAGGCCCATACAGATCAGAGACGGCTCCGAAAGTCATCCAAACGGAAATCTGGGAAACAATAACGAGGCGAGGGATTTTAGGCAACGTCTTGATGGGATTGATACCTATGATCTTTTATTTAACCTTGAACGCATTCGCGTACCTCCTTGGAATACTCTGGCAGGGCCTTGGGGGCACAGTATAAGCTCCCGGTGCAGGAGGCCCGTAAGCGTATAAATGTATCGTCATTTTGTATTCAGTGTTATACCAGCAAACGAACAAGAATACTGCACCATTAAAATCAATTCAGCCAAAATGTTAGATTTTTTACATTTCAACAAATCTCAGAAAATCGGATAAATCCTATGGTGGTCCATGCTGGACAAAAATACAATGTAAATGAATTTCAGTGACGATTGTGGCAGAACGCGGAAGAAAGTCAGGGAATGGTCACGATAGCCAAGGAACGGTCATGATCGTTGAAGAATGTTGACGTTCTTTGACAATCAGCACAGAAAGTTACCTTTTTTGGCAGGATGTTAATGATAATCAAAGAATGACACCCCGCAGAATGTCACCGTTCGTTGCCGATCTGTTGACAGAGGCCAAAACAAATGAGAATTTGTCTTGACATGGCCTGACCTATTCTTCCAGTTTCTTCAAGAATCTCTGAGACCCCGAACTGCCTCCATGATGCCACACCATGTGTGGGTTTCATGTGCTGGGCCTATGCCGGCACATGAGTTGAGTGTGCCAAGCCCCTCGCAAAGTCCTGGGGTGTCACGACCCGTTCCGTGCCGAAGACATCCGAGAGACATCCGAGAGACATCCGTTCATAGCCGTTTCGGTTCTTCGATTATATTGTTCTTTTGTTTGTTATTTGTCTTTGATTTTCCTAGTGTACACGTGCCTCATTATTCTATTGTCATTAGCGTACACGCTCCCTCCACGAGTTAGACAGCCGACGGCTCATTGTCATAGGTAGTCCATTATTCGTTGTAGTATTTAAGGGACTGCAGGACGACCGAGTCCGGCAGTCTGAATATCATACTCGACTTCTAATCTCCTCCTCTCGTTCTCATCCGTTCTCATCCGCTCGCATCCGTTCGACATCCGACACCGGCCTAAAAGCCTATACTCTGAAATCGGACTTAGACTATCTCGAGGGCGCAACACACGAACATTGAAGCCAAAAGTCCACATCTGAAATCTCTTCCGAAGCACATCCGAACGCACCCGGTCTCCAGCACACCTCGGCTCAGCACAGGTCGTAACAGTATATTCAGACTACAAGCTCGAATAGTCTGTCTACATGGCTACAGGTCGGCCTCGTCAAACAAGGACTGCCCAACAAGCTGGTATTCAAGAAACCATGCTTTCCTTCACCCATCATCGTCGTCCAACGGTTCCAACACTCCAACAACCTCTCCAACCTTCTCCACAAAACCCTTTCACTCCTTATCTTACACCCACGGCACAGCTCTACCCGGAAACACCAACTCGCGCCCCGGCCTCCGTATCTGCACTGTACCTCGATAACCCATGGGCACCCGAGCCGCAAGGTCCTCTCAGTCCTCTGCAAACACCCGCTCATTTTCCACCGGCTGAAAGCACTTACCTGAGGACTGGAACGTACCAACCCACAGGTTTCCATACCCCAGTTCCTCTCTCTCCGGCTCTTCCAACTGTTCTTGAACAAATGGAGACGGAAAGCACGGATCATTCGGGAAGTGAACCTGCCGAAATTTGTTTCCTTCGGAACCAAACTCAGCTCACGGAAGCCATCCACCTCATGGCCAGGAACATGTCGAATATGCCCATGATGCAGCCGCGTCAAGAGCCGACTCCTCGGCCCAAGTTGAAGGCTCCAGATGTGTTCGACGGTACAAGCGCCCAAAAGTTGGATCCCTTCCTCGTCCAGTGCATGATGTATATTTCGCTCCAGCCCCACGAGTTCACCACCGAAGACTCCAAGGTCGGCTTCATTATGTTGTACTTATCCGGCTCCCCCTACAACTGGTTCCAATCACAAATCACTGCCGCCCTCGAAACCGGTATGACCCAGCCGCTTCCGTGGCTTTCGGATGTTGCGCTCTTCGTTCAGGAGCTCAAGCAACTTTTCGGCCCACGAGATCCGGTTGCGGATGCCGTTAACCACCTCGAGAATCTCACCTTCCGAGACTCCGGCAAAGCAACGC